TGCGCATCTTGCGGATCCATACGCTCAACCAGTTCCAGCGCTGTCTTCATCTGCTTCACATAGCTCTGGAGGAGCTCCTGCTTACGCTTGCGCAGCCCATTCGCTAGCTGGTGCATTGCCTTTTGTTGCTCCTCCTGCTTTTTGCGTATGCTCGCAGCATTCACTGCCGGCGTTAGAGCTCTTGCTCCACCAGTTGCTGACGCATTGGCCGCTGTCGCGTTCGCATTGAGCTTCAGCCGCATAGAGGCGGGTGCTGCGGTGCTTGCCAGTCCCTGCTCCGTTGTTGGTGCTGCCAGTGCATTATTTGTTTCTCCAAGGGGTGTGGCCTGGTTGGGTTGACTGTTGTTGTTGTTCGTGTTGGTTATCTTGGCGCTGTCTGCATTAGGTGTCGGCATTGCAGGCACGTTATGCAAATGATATTGACTTTTGCGATTCACATTCGGGTTGCCCGACTCATTGACGATGTTATTGTTATTGTTGTTATTATTGCTACTGCTATTGCTGTTGTTGTCGTTGTGCCAGAAAACCTTGATGAAGCGATTATTGAGCACTGCCTCCGTGCTGCGATAAGCAACATTTGCCTCGGCATGCGTGGAGAATGTAACGATTGCCGCCTCCGGGTCGCCTTCGTATGACACTTGAATATTGACAATTTTGCCAAACTTGGCGAAATGATTGTTCAGATGCGCTATGGTGTTCAGTCCACGCGGCACTTTCCGCAGCTCCAGGGAACTATTGTGCTGTTGCATATTGGGATTGACCCGAGGTCCTAGGCGACTATTGATTGGCAGCTTGCGCATTTTGCTGGGCACATCGGCTATGGCCACACTGTCCTCCAGCTCAAAACGCCGCTTTCCCATGTCGGCAGCCAGCCCACCGCCCCCGCCGCTTCCTACCCCACCTCCAACGCCACCATCCATTACTGGTATGGGTATTAGTTGACGCTGCAACGGCGTTGTCACGGCTGTCGGATTAAAAGGGAATGGCATCATGGGCGGAGGCGCAGGTACTTGCGGCGGCTGGCCTGGCTGGCGCGCATAATCAGCAGGATTGGGCACACCGTGGGGCGCACAGGCACGCACATTTCCACTGAATGGATTAATGCTCGATGGGCCACCCTGGGGCGGCACGGGTAGTGCCTGTGGTGGACCACCGCCAGGCTGAGGCACGCCGGGTACTCCAGCAGGGCCGCCACGTGCCCAAATCTCAGGTGCATCGGGATTGTACTCGCGCATGGACATCATTAATGCTGAATTGTTTATACCTTCGAATACCACAGGATTAATTCCATGATCCCAGGGGCAGGTCTCGCCGCGCACACAATATCCCTTTTCATCGAAGTCGCGACAACGTTGACGCCCCATTGCAGCAACAGGATGCGATACGGGCAGTGGCATAGGCACAGCAGGGGCTACAACGGCAGCAGAGGAGCAAGCCGCTGCTTCCATGCTGTTTGAGCTGTTGTTAATGTTGTTGCTGCTGATGTTGGCACCACGCCGAGCATTGCGCGATTCGGGTGAAATAGATCGACTGCGTGGAGAGTGGCGACTCTTGCCGAACCGTTGAGTGCGCTCATCCATGCTGCTGTTGTTGTTGCTGCTATTGTTGTTGCCGATTCGTCGCCTGTCAAAGTTGTTGGTGCTGTTGGTGCTGTTATTATTGTTGCTTCGTCTGTGTCGTTGTTCGCTCGTTCCACCCGGCGGCGACTTATTGCGGAACTGACGCTGGCTCTTCTCGCGCTCATTAATGCGACGATCTCGCGACCGTGATCGCCTAAAGGAACGTTCATTGGAACGGGAACGGGAACGAGATCGAGAACGCAAAGAGGCGCGTCGCCGGCGACTATCACGAGGCTGATTCTCCTTATCAGCGGCATAGGCACCAGCTGGACCGCTGCTGCGCAGAGGCGGACTAGCGCTGCGCACAAAACCTGATGCGTTGACTGTGCTACCTCCACTAGTACTGCTGTGATGATGATGCATTAGCTGTTGCTGCTGGCTGTGAGAGTCTTTGGTTTTGTGCTGCAATCAAAAGGAACCCATTAGAATCATTGAAGGAGTACAGTTGTCTTTACCTACATCGAAGGCTATCTTGGTGCTGTGTGTACCCGTGGTATTGGCATCTGTTGGCATTGCGCTGGACGCTTCGATGGCGGTTTCTCTGCTGCTATTATCGCTTCTTAATTGCTGTTGATTGTTATCGGCTTTTATCACAATGTCTTTTGGCGCGGTTGTTGATGGTGGCGTCGGCGGTGATGAGTTAACAACAGCCTCAATGTCGGCTACACCATCTAAATCAGGTTCCAGCTCCAGTTCCGCGATGTTAGCTGTTGATACGGGCATTGGAGTGGGCATTGATAAATACTCCTCGCTGGCAATCGCATCGAATAGACGATCGACGAATCGTGTCGTCTCCTCTGAAAGAAACACATCCAATTGCTCGATCATGATGCGTTTGAGATCCTTATCCGATTTGTCTTTTTTCAGCAACGCGATTACATAGCGCGCCAAAGCCGAGGAGTCAGCATCGCAGCTAATCAAATGCAAATATATAGTAAAAACAAGGAAACATTTAATAAAATGTGTTTATCGAAGCTCATTCAGTTACTTACAGTGGCTCAAGCACAACGCTCAGCCAATCCTTGAGCTTATCCGAGTTTTCCAATATCATTTTATTGAATGGCCCCAAATGTTGTATGCGTTCTGATTTATACGTTGGTCTGCACTGTAGATTTCCTTTTTGTTGTCGTTTTAGGGGGCCGAAATATACTTATTTTTAATATGACCTCTGCCACACTCTGCTCACTTTGTCTCTGTCACACTCACTGAAGGGTGTGCTTCGTACCAACTGCACTATACGCTATACGTATATATATATATATATATATATATGTATAAATGTATATATATATGTTCAATATTAGCTAGAAAGCTGCAAATATACAAATATATTAGCACGTTATTTACATACATATACTTTAAGTAAAGTACTCGCAATACTTCGAATGTTAAGTTTATTACACACGTTTTATACTAATTATTGCTGTTATTATTATTATTATTGTTATATTACTGTTGTAATTGTGGCACAAGGGTAGTACTAGTGGACTTCATTCACACTTATAGTAGGCTGTGCAAATTTTTATTATTTTTCCCATTTATTTTTACTTTACTTTATTGATGTAAGTTTTCTTCTATTTTTTTCTCTGACAGCTGGCTTGAAGGCTCACCACTAGGCAGCCATTTGTTTGTGTATGTTCCAATAAGAAAGTTTCTCGATTTTGCCACCCGATACTTTGCTTGCGTACTACAGCCACACACACGCACACACCCATATATGCATATGCGACACACACACATTACATTTGCACTCACACATGCAATGGCAGCAGCTAAAATTTTGCGCTCAAATTTTAGGCATTTGCTTTGCGCTTTTCTATATTTCGACACTTTTCACACATACCTTATGCACTTAATTAAACTTATACAATAGCTTTTTATAATAAATAATTGTTTTTAATAGTTATTTTTCTATTTTTCACTGCACTTTATTGCTAGTCGCAAGGTTGCTTTCTTGACAAGTTGGCTACTGCATATCGCACTCCCAATCGATACAATTCGATATAGAAATCAATAGCACCTCTGAATGCCTCTAAACGATATTTTTAACGATAGAATCGTTTCATATATCATACCTAACTCGTGCACGCGCCTATTCTTTTGTGAGTAGGTTAAATTATACTTCAGTATTTGTTGAAATTGATCTATAATGTGCAGCATTGGCGAAGATGACTTTGGCGATGAAGGTGGCACGCATGCAATGTTGCCTAGCTGCTCAGAAACTGGCATTGTTTTAAGGGCTGGCGACTGCAGCAAGTGCGGCCAAAGCTCACAACAGCTTTACAAACTAAACTTTCGATCGGCTGAATGTAGTGAATGTTTTCTGAAGTATGTCAGGCACAAATTCCGCGCTGCCTTAGGAGCTGCGAAGGTGCTGCCACGCAATGCTGAAATTTTGCTGGTGATTGATGGTAGCTCAGAGTCTCTGGTGCTACTTGACATGGTGCACTTTGCCCAAACCCAAAATACGTTTAAGCGGTTGCACTGCAATGCCCGTGTTCTTTACGTTGATGCTCATTGTTCGCCCATAAAAGAAGAAGAGAGTCCTCTCCTAGCACTTAATGAGCTGCAGAGGCGTTATGAACCCTTTGAGTTTTATGTAATTCAACTAAATGGCGACCCCCAAAGCTTGCAGCTTCTGAAGGACTACACAGTTCGCCAGCTGGACTCCATTCTGGATCAATTTAACAGTTCGACTTCCCGTCAGGACTACATGCAGCAGAAACGTAAATTCCTCGTAGGTGGTGTGGCTATGAAGCTGAAATGCTCACATGTTTTTGAACCCAGCATAAGTCCCAGCTTGGCTACACAGCTTCTGACATCTGTGGCTCTGGGACGCGGAGCAAGCGTTGCGTTGGATGTCGCCTTGCTGGATGATCGTCTGATGGGAGATGTCAAGTTGTTGCGTCCCTTGAAGGATCTCAACGATCAGGAAGTGCAATTCTATGTTCATGCAAAAGAGCTTAAAGCATTTCGTGTGGATGATCCTAGTCATTATCCATTATCCGGAGGTAGCTTGCAGAGCTTGACTAGGGACTTTGTGGCTAATCTTCAGTTGAATTATGCATCCACAGTGTCGACAGTTTTTCGGACAGGTGATAAAATCGCCCCTAAACGCAATTCCAAAGAAATTATGGCTTCATACTGTGCACTGTGTCAATCTCTACTCGATAATAACATCTCCGACACTTTGCTGGCAATTGAATACTCACGTGCTGTCTCCGAAGTCGGCGTGGAACTAAAGATGAAGAGCAGTTGTGACGTGCTGGAACAACGAGTCTTAGAGCGTTTGAACGAAAAAGAAGAGCTGTGTCATGCATGTCGGAATATACAAGCAGAGCTAAGTAGTGGTACCTTAATCTAATTAAATCGAAGTTTATGTCAAAGTGTTTAACTATCTTTTTATAACTTGGCTAGCCGCGTATTTACACGCGTTTGCAGCGGAAAATGTCCGTCAAGTGAAGGCACATTGCAAGCAAAATCCACATGTTGAAAGCTGTAAATCATATACCGATTGAAGCGCTTGGCTACAGTGTTGAGTTCACTAATAGAGCACGGCAATACTATGGATTCGTTGCAGTACTCTGGCTCTGGCAAGTACAACTCATCGCCTGGAAGCACGCCAATGAGACAGTCATTTGTGCGATAATAGATGGGCTGAAGCAGTGTAGATCCCTGTGTACTGCGGTCATATGCAAATTGTAGCAACTGTTGCCAACCTGGAATGCTCATCAGACGCGCCGTCTCGTAGAGCAGTATGTATGGTAACCAAATAAGACCCTCTCGACTTTGAAGCCAGGAGTCGGAAGGCTGTAGCCAGTAAGCCGCAGCTACTTCAGTTGGTTCAAGTAACAAGTCCACGTTGAAGTTCTCCAAGGCAGCCAAATAGTAAACCGTATCGTATTTGCGACTCGAGGCGGATGCTGGTGTACGCCAAATGGACCACTCGTTGAGAGCCCACAGGTCTGGGATAACAGCCAAATGTCGACACAGCACAAGAAATTGCTGTGCATCATTGTGCACTCGCTGCTGCCAATATTCACGATCGAACGGTTGTACCAGTACCTGCGCTGGCTGTCCACCATTCAAATTCTTGAGATTCTTGCGACACAACAGAATGCCCACTTCCTCAAAGGTTTCTCGTAGCGCTGTTAGGCGAAGTGAGATATCACGAGAGAACTCTACACCTTGGGTCATGAGCTCCGGTCTACCCATTGATTGCCGGCTGTGCAATAGCTTTAGCTGGTCCCAGGAAATTCCACATTCTTGGAAGTAGATCAACCAATCGGCGGATTCATCTGCCTGAGCATCGAAGACGCCTCCAGGAAAGACACAGTGATTAAGTGCATAAGATGTGCGCTCTGTCCGTTTCATTAGCAATACCTGTCAGTAATAAGTGGAAATCTTTATATAGTTGAACATGAATAATACTATTCTTTATTCTTACGTTATAATCGTATTCCTTTTTTGTATGGAACGCTTGTTTGCTTGCCAGTATTAAACTAGCTGAGGGCCTGTATTGGATCTGATCTGTGGTAGCCATATCAGCGATTGACAACTTGTAGTGGCGTTTGTAGCACTAAAAACTAAATCATATTTTATTTTCAACCTTTGCACCGCGCAGCTGAAGTTCAACAGCTGACCAGATAAATTGGGGATATCGATACATCTTATTGTTGACATCAAGCAGCTGCCGGATCGACTGACGACTGACGGTTGGCAAGCTATCGCCAATCGATAGTTGGGTGCACTGGCAGCCATACCATCAGCTAGATCGATAGATCTAGCTTGAATTGTATTTGTTGTTATTGTTGTTATTACCTAAACTATGCCGAAGAAAGTTGTGGATAAAATTCGTCATTCAGCTAGTCTAATACTTCTGTCCAGAAATACTAAATTTCCACCCGGCAGCTCAGATTATAATGTATGTATATTTTGTTATATATCGCAAAGTTGTAACTTATTTAAATATTTTCAGGCGCTACTCTTTACGCGTAACTCCAAGTCGACCTTCATGCCCGACGCTTCAGTGTTTCCCGGTGGCGTTTGTGAAACTGTGGACAGCTCTCCAGTTTGGCTAAGACACTTTAGTCGCTACGAAGGGAGCGCTAAGAAATTAAAGAAGATATGCAAAGGAGCTGCGAGTACGAAGGGCTTTAATGAAAACCTTAATGCGTAAAGTAGAAAATTTGAATAGTTTATTAAATTGTTGCTTTATTCTTTATTTTCTGTTATAGTGATATTTCACTACGTTTGACTGCATTACGGGAGACTTTCGAAGAGATGGGTATTTTGCTGTGCCGTGATCGCAAAACTCTGACCAGAACTGATGGCTATGCACAATTCAGTGAGCAATTTGATCGGCAGCATTGGCAACGTATTGTCCATAATGATGCCAGTAAATATTTGACGCTCTGTGAAGAGTTGGATGTGGTGCCCGATCTGTGGTCGTTGCACGAATGGTCTGCCTGGCGCACGCCGTCTACTTTCCAGAAGCGGTTCGAAACCGTCTTCTTTTTAGCTGCTCTCCAAGCCCAGCCGAAGGTGCTAACAGAGCCTAATGAAGTGAAGGATTATAAGGTTTGCATACGGCGAAAATTAACATAACAAGAAATAGAACAAAGCAACAGAAACTAGCTGTTTGTAAATGAGCTCGATCAATGATTCGAGCTACGTCTACTCGGTAACATCCGACTAGACCTGTCTTGATTAGAATAGAAATAGTAATTAGCTTGTATTTTTGTTTCCCGAACTTATGTATATTTTCCTATCTTATATGTATATGATGACCTCAATAGTGGCGTGCTCCTTTGGACTATCTGAAAGCTGCACTCAAGAAAGAACTCTGGCTGCCTCCGCCACAATATTACGAACTTTCACGTTGTCTCAACTTTCAGAAGTTGGAACAATTGCGCCTGTTTGCTCAACACCGTTCATCCGAGAGAGACGTGGTCATCCATCCAGTAATATACAAATGTACAGATGGCTTCGTTCATCTACTACCCGGCGACGACTTGTATCCCTTAGATCCGGATGCGAGTAGCGAAAAAATCGAGACCGGGATATCAATGGCCGAATTTCGCACGCTGGCCAAAAAAAATTTGCATCGTTCCGAGCATAAGAATCAGCATGAATCGCAGCTGATCGTCAATTTTGAGTCAGCTGATGGTCACGTTATTCCTTTAGATCCAAAAACTCATTAGATATATGCAATAACAAATAACTTTATTAACAATTTGTAAGTGTAACGTGTGTGTAAAGCATCTGTTGCAAGTGTGTGTCCACTATAAAAGACAACAGAGGCTCAATAGGTGCATTTGTTAGTTAAAAGACAAACTATTAATTGTTAAGTTTGAACTCCAAATAATCAAGAAATGTAACAGATTTTATGCGCTTGTTTTCTGATTGCCCAAAAAGTTGAGATTAGTGAGATTAGTTCAGAATATTTCTATAGCTGACCATAGAATCTTCGATAAGCCGAAGGATATATAATACACAACCTGAGGACTAGACCGTTGGCCCAGGGGCAATTATTAGTCAAAGCAAAAAGCAAGACCAAAAAAGTTTTTGATCAACAGGATCATCTATTTATCGTCCTTTCCATACCAAAGCTGATACAGATAGGAGGCTTCATCGGCATGATCATAGCTGCTTTCATATTCCTTTGAAGATGGCTTATTTGCCTCCTTGTGACTGCAATGCACAGCGATAGGATAGAGGGGGTGGGAGAGAATGAAGAGAAAAAGAAACGGTTGTAGAGCCGAATAATTATTAATAATTCTTTCACCTACTCGTAGGATATATAGCCAGGTTGTTGCCAACGATCATGTGGACTCTCCGGCTGCTTGTGGGAGGGGAAACATTTCTTGCACTCGACCAAGGCACGTTCAATGTTCTTCTGTGTGCTGAGCAGCACGCCAAGCTTATTGTCGATCTGCCAGGTGCTGGCGCCTACATGTTCCACCGTGTGCCCGATTGCCGCCAATTGGCGATGCTGCGTGCTGTTTATGGAACGCAATCCGTGTTCCAACTGGTGCACCTTGCTGGCTGTTAGGCCAGACAACGCCGTCAATTCATCCAGATGGCCGACTTTGTTCTCAATTAGTCGTTGGGACTGCTCCAGCTTCTTCGCCACTTGGACGAGGGCCACTACTTCTTTGAGCACGGACTGCTTGAGCAAGTTGTCCAGAGCTGAGAGACGCAGAGTCACGGATTTGGTAGCCTGATCGAGACTATGCTCATGTTTATTCTGATTGGCATCCACCTTGGAAATCAACTGCTTGATATCCTGCTGCCCACGTGCAAGATTCAATAAAGCCCAATCCGTTTTATTCTCAGCTGCCCGAATGCTAGCAGTCAGGTTACGAATTCCATGGGCCGTAAGATGAAAATTGGCAGCTGTGCTCAACTCGAGTCTCTTGAGGCCATCTTCCAGGCGTTCAATGCCGGCAACATCCTGACCCAACAGCCTCAACTTACCCTCAATGCCCTTCTGCGAATTACTTATGCCCTGCGCCTTGTTGTCCAATTGTCGTAGAACCTTTGTATTCTCGTCCAAAATGCGACGTATGGAAGCGTTGCTTCTGTCCGGTCGGCTATCCCCAAGATTGGCAGGAGCTGCTTCTGCTGCTGCTTCACCTGCCTCTCCTTTCTGTTCCTGGTGAGGGATGACGTAGGAATATTGAGATTTGGCTATTAACTTCATCAAAAGATCTCACCTGATCCTCTGGCTCCTCCTGAGCCCTGCAGCTGCTAACCAGACATACAATGAGCAAAACTAGTTGTAGTTTCATGGTTTTCTGCTTGTTTGATTCGCTTCGAACTGCGCCACGTTAGCGTGGGTCATGGCTTAAATAGTCGGCGTTGTAACGTAGTGGCACGTGCCGGTTGCACTTTGACCCTATCAGCCACAGCGTACACTGCTGTTATATTCTATTTGATATAAGTTAGAAGTTTGTTATCTTTCTTAAGGGACACCCATCATATATTCATTTCTGATATCAAAACATACGACAGCTTCCAGTCTCCATTCACAATCAGCTACTGCTGCCCTTCAATCTTTGGCGCTTAGCTCTTGGAAACATCAAAATCAAATAGTTCAACGACATTTCGACTGCGAAATAGTTCTGAAAATATGTGTTTGGGCACGTCTTAATATTCTACTATGATTGCTTCTACGTAAAGCCCACTTGATATAAAGCTTTAACTGAAGGTGCACGAGACGTGCCGAATTTTAGAATTTCCGGCTGCGTGCAGCTGCTGCTGCGTCGTAATCCCATCAACGGATTCCAAAAATAGTTCATTCACTAAAATTTAAGGCATTTTTAATTAAATAAGTAAACGCTTATATAACTTGATTTGCAAAATGTTGAATTTGTTCAGAACATAGGAACAGAAATGTGTACTGTATAATGGTGTCAGGTATGTACATATGTATGTATATACATACATATATCTGTACATATAGCTTAAATTAAAAAGTCCTTCGTCACCAACGGCATAAATCTCATAACAGTTTAAGGAAATGGTTGCGTTTTTTATTTTTTACAATTTTTTACACCCTGAACCCATTTTCAATGGGAAATCAGGGTATAATGGTTTTGTTGAAATGTATGTAACAGGGAGAAGGAGGCGTGGCAGACCCCACAAAGTATATATATTCTTGATCAGGGCGACGAGCTGAGTTGATTTGGCCCTGTCCGTCTGTCTGTCTGTCTGTCCGTCTGTCCGTATGTTTGAACGCGTCGATTTCCGAAGATATAAGAGCTAGAGACTTCATATTTTTTTTAAATGTTCGTACTTACAGCTTGGATATCGAGTTTATCATTAAAAATCGATAGCTCATCCCGATCTTTTTTATCGATAAAAAACCTTATCGAAAACCAGTTATAAAATTATATCTCCTACACCTTTATTGCTAGAGTCTCCAAATTTTTAATGTATGCTTATATGCAATTTATACAATTTCGGTTTTTGTTAAAATTTACCCTTCACCCCTATATTCACCCCCATCACCCTCACATTTGTAAAAGGCGTACTTCGAATTTTCGTATTTCATGAAACTTTCAGATTATGAATATAACATAGATATACACATACTTGCCACAGCACAAGTCCCTAGGATTTGAAATACGCCTTTTACAAATGTGATGATGAGGGGGTGAATTAGAGGTGGGGGTAAATTTGGACAAAAACCGAAATTGTATAAAATGCATATAAGTATACATAAAAAATTTGGACAGTCTAGCTTTAAAGATGATTACTGGTTTTCGTTAAGGTTCAAACATACGGACAGACTGACAGACGGACAGACGGAAATCGACTCAGCTCGTCGCCCTGATCAAGAATATATATACTTTATGGGGTCTGCCATGCCTCCTTCTGGCTGTTACAGACATTTAACAAAACCATTATACCCTGATTTCCCATTGAAAATGGGTTCAGGGTATAAAAATTGCATGTCACCATGAAGCGTAATTATGTACATATGTATAATCTGGAGTAAATAAAGAAAGACGGTCTAGATATTAGCAGCATTATTACTATTCTCTCTGCATTACATAAATACTAGAGGTTATGAATTAATATACACTAACCCTGGAAGGCTTTCGCTTCTTAAGGAATATAAAAGATTTTGCTATATGCCATAGTATTATAGATAAGTTTTATTTGATATCTCATATATAAAATGTATAATATAATAATAAAAACATCTTTATTTTTTCGATTGTTTTACAATTGTCTAGAAATATTTATACATATTTGAATATTGGCTATATATGTATATAAATTAATATATATTATATGCATCAACATTTATATAATTATTCGTCTGCCGTAAAATATCATTCAGCAAATTCACAAAATATGAAGTTGAGGTCTTAGTAGCCTTCCGATGGGGAGTTGCTGCCATGCCAGAATGAATAACGTCTATTTGAAGACACGTCGTGTGCTTGAGGAGAATAGGATTTAGCTAGTTGTGCTGGAGAGGAACCCAAGTGGCGCGGTGGATGCTGCGAATATTGATTCTGGTCACATGGCTGCGGATTAGGAGCAGGTCTCTTGCGCTCGGAACCAGATGCAGGAGCGGACTGGTAAGGTTTGGGGCGATTAGGCTTTGGCTTGGGCACGACCGCTGGAACGGATTGATAGGCAGGCACAGTTTCCCAAGGCAGAGGTTGCTGCCAGGAGACGGAACTGGAACTGGTGTGCTTGGCAGGTATGGCTACATAAGAGCTGTAGTTGGGATTTCTAGGTTTGCCGAGTATTGGCTTATTGGAAGGTACTTGGGCATAGACGCTGGCGTAGTAAGAGCCTTGAAGACAGATAATAAAGTACTTGAGATTTAAATTATATAGATTGTAACGCGTGCGACGTACCCTGCTCATTGGGTTCCTTATGGCTCCAGACCTGTGAACGAGGAGGGGGAGCTACGTCTGCCAACTCAACTTCATAGGAGGGATGGGATGAAGAGCTAGAATGTTTGGCATAATGAGCTGTTTGACGTCTATCGCATGCCTCCAAATCCAACTCGATTCTCTTTTGGGAGACTATCAACTCTCGAAGAGCACTCTCAATTTGCCAGGAATTTAGCGGCTTCAGCTGGGACAGTGCATGTGTTAACTTCTCAAACTGGGCTTCCTGTGTGCGATTCAAGTTAATCAGCTTACTAGTCAATGTGATCAACTTGATGTTGGAATCCTCGCTAATCTCCTTGAGGCGCGCCAAACTCTTCAGCTCCACCTCGATGTTGACTTGGGATGTCTCTAGGCTATCAAAGGAACACTGCAGTCCATTCAATTGTGGCAGTACAGCGCGCGTTATTAATTTTGTCAGATCTAATATATTGTTTTCAATGCTGCGTGCATTCTGTAGTACATGTCTTTGATACCCATCTAGTTTCTGCTCCAGCCCGCTGATTTGTTGCTTCGTAGAAATCTGCAGACGGGCCAAGCTTCCCAATTCCTTGGACACACGATCAGCATGTATACCAGACTTAAGTGTGATGTTATTCAACGCCTCCTGAACGACCACAGATTGTGCATCGAGAAAAAGGTTGAGTTTGTCCAGTTGGCCATCTACATTTTTGATCGCATCCAGCCAGTCACGTTGCTGTTCGATGCTGTTTTTAATGTTTTCGTTTGTGGCATCGATGTGACGTAGAAGCGCTTTGGTTTCATTTAACTCCTTTGTGTTCTCTGCTAGCAGTCGCTCGATACTTTGTGCACTGCCTGTACAGATGCAGCTCAACCAAATGATGGTTAATGCAAGATTCATAACTGCTTTTACTTACAAGTGACAGACGCATGTGCCTTGGGATGAAAGCTGCTCGCCCTTAAATACGCGAACCTATTGGGTAGCTGCGGTAGCACGTGTCTGTCAGCATCTTGAACTATCTAGCAAGTGAGTTTTTTGTGTTGTGGGCACATAATAAATGCATATTATTTGGGCTGTTTCTCGTTAATCGAAGTTTTTTGAAGAATCGGCACGAATTTGAATGTCAGTGTTGATAAACCCATGTAGCTGTCATCCGTTACATTCAGGAGCAACAAGTAACCGCAGCCGATAGTGTGTAGCTCTAGTGCCGATAACCGATGATTCCTTGTCGATGATTCGTTGTCAGCTGTCAGCACTACCTTTTGCAGCTGTTTAGAGAATAGGCGCTGACTGGGTGAAAAAGAAAAATATATTTCTCCTAGAAAGAGAAGTCAACATATATTGTGTATAATAATAAATGCAAAAGTCGTTTATTTGTATTAGTGGTGTCCGAATTTCGTTTTACATTTCATCATTAACTACGCACTGTTGTAAGTAAAGCGAAAGACGTGAGCAAAGTTCAACAAAAAACTTTCGGAGCGACAAGAAGCAAAGCAAACTTGCAAGATGGAAACCCAACAAAAGCAACAAAATACGATCGAGGCTGATGCAACAGCCGATACGTCATTTCTGGGTGCCGCATTTCGGGAAATCTTCTACAGTCCGATGAATCTGGCATTGCTGTCCATCATTTGCTTCCTGGTTTATAAGATAGTGCGTGATCGCTGCGAGGGCCCGGGATCTCGGGACTCGGCACAGAAACCGGCTGAGCCACAGTTGCCGAAATTGCGCCGAGACTTCACTATCAAGGAGCTGCGCGAATACGATGGCAACCAACCGGATGGTCGTGTTTTAGTTGCGGTCAATGGTAATGTTTATGACGTCACAAAGGGCAAACGTTTCTATGGACCTGGGGGACCATATGCCACATTTGCCGGACGCGATGCATCAAGAAATTTAGCCACTTTCAGTGTGGTGCCCAACGATAAAGATGAGTACGATGATCTGAGCGACCTTAACATGATGGAAATGGACTCGGTGCGTGATTGGGAAATGCAATTCAAGGAGAAGTACGACTTTGTCGGTAAATTGCTGCGTAATGGTGAGCAGCCGACGAACTATGATAACGATAGCAACGATGAAGATGAGAATATTGACGGCGGCAGCAAGAAAGAAAACTAAGTGGCGAAATGGGAGGTGTATGAAAGGCATGAAAAACTTTTGCTGCTTAACGATGATTAGCACAAAAGGCGACAAGTGGCGTTCGACTTGGCAATCTAGTTACAATTTTACACCCAAACACACACACACACATCCCTTACACCCTCAGTGTCATAGGCAAGCTGTAAAAACATCTAGATCTAATGGAAAACTATGTTATAAGATTTATATGTATGTTAAACAAACAAACAAACCCAAAAAAAAAAAAAAGGAATATATATAAAAAAGGTAAAAATTATTGTTGGTATATTCAAATCAAAATTGTGCAACAAATTGTATGCTTAAATATGTAGAACAGTAAAAACACATAAACCCTGGCACTGATCGTAAATGGTCTATAAAATCACATTAAATAAAGCCAGAATAACATGAAATGTCAAAAGCTGATTAAATATATAAATATATATGTATATGTATGTACAAATGTACTTGGGAACACGTTGAATGCAAATTCTTTACTTAATAGTTGCGAGGGCAGGCTATTAGATTGTGCATAGGCTAGTCAGCCGCTTTAGTTGACTGAATTGGTAACAAATTAGTTAAAATGCACGGGAATTCCATAAAATATCTTTTAATAAATGTACATTTATATGTACATACTATTATCATAAACAATTAATGTATTTACATAGGTGCAGCTGTACCCCCGCCCTCTACATACATATGTATGTAAATTCTGAGCCACTCGATAGCTAAGTAATCGCATAGCTATCGATATCGTTGTTGTCGGCGCAATAAGGTAATCCAATCAGTAGCTAGCAACAGGTTGTATTGATAACGAATCAAATAGTCGAAGCAGTCTAAATAACTAAACTAAATATTAAGTAAATTCATGCAAGCCAGCGGAAGCACAGCGAATTCGAGTCCTAGATGGCGTCTTTCGGCGAGCCTCATCATAGTGACGCCCGAAGCAGCAGCTGGCGAGGATTACAATGTTCGTGGCAAATCTGCAAAGAATAACTATTGCTCTTGTATATTTAATTTTGGCATTCTTAAGGTGCTCATGTTAAAGCGTACTGATGCGATAGCCGTGGCTACTAACCAAACGGTTTTTCCGGGCGGATTGCTGGAAGTGGAGGCGGATGAGAGCGTTGCCTGGCTTCAGTACTTCGAGGAGTTTGGTGTTTTGCAAGCGTCGCTGCGTGGTCTGGTACTGATCAGCGAACAAAGGCCAACCATATTAGCTCCACAGGGTACAGGTTGCTATGATCGTTTCTTTAAACGTTCTAAAATTTGGGCGCGGTGAGTACAAGGTGCAAATTATATGCAAATTATATCTAATCTCTGTGCTTGATTAGGGAGATAACTCTGCGCTTGGCGGCTTTGCGTGAGTGTTTTGAGGAAGTGGGAGTACTGCTGTGTCGCAATCGAGCTCAGGTTCATCAAACGGCTGCAGTTGCTCAGGCAGCACAGTTGGATGCAGATTCTCTGAAGACCTGGCAAGCTCGCGTGCACAGCAACCCCAGTGATTTTTTGGCCCTATGTCGACATTTAGAAGTAGTTCCCGATTTATGGGCGCTGCACGAATGGTCCGCCTGGGCGAGTCCCGCGTTTGTTAAGAACGGGTGAATCATTCAACGAATCCAAATTTTAATCATTTTACTATAATCAACATTTTTACTTTTTAGTTATGAGACTGTTTTCTATATGGTCTTCCTGCAATCACAGCCAAGCCTGCTCATAGAACCCACCGAGGTGAAGGAGGGTCTAGTAAGCCAAGCAGTTCTTCAATCTATATGGTAATCATATCTTAATCGTATATTCTTTAAACAACTTGCAGTGGCGCTCACCTCTTGAACTACTACGTTTGCATCAGAATCAGGAACTGTTTTTTTTGCCGCCTCAAATCTATGAGCTCGGTCGCCTGTACTCCATCAACGATTTCCAGAAGCTATGTCACTTTGCCTCGCAGCGCGGTCAACTGGGCTGCACAATGTTTATGCCAGTGGGTTACGTATGCAGCGATGGCATGGTATTTGCGCTGCCAGGTTAACTTTGACTTTGAATTTACCTTTAGGCTCGTGTGTTAGCTTTTAATTTCTTCGATTATTTGCAGGCGACGACTTATATGTGCCTGAACCACATTTGGTCACCAAGCCCATTGAGTTTTCTGGAACTGTTGCCGAGCTGAATGCCCGCTCCAAATATTTGCATCGTTACGAGTCTACGACAGCAACTGATTTTCAAATACATATCAATATTCCAACTTTGAATGGGCATTTGGTTCCTAAGCAACTGCCAAATGAAAAGTGCAAGCTATAGGCCATCAAGTTTAAGCTAAAAATGAGCATTTCATTTTAGTTTTTGTTAAGCTAAATATCAATATCATCTAAAGTATGTATTTAAATAAAAAAATGTAAATAATAATGTAAATGTATGGGCAAACCATATACACTGTAAATATAAATATAAATGTATATAAAGTATGGATGTTTAAAGTCCTCGCCATTTATTGTCCAATGGTGTTTCGATATAAAAAACAAGTAAGAAGACTCTAGTCGAGACTGTCCGACTAGGAGATACCCTGAAAACTCCAATCTGATATTCTAATCACTCTGCACTTCTTTTCGGCACACATAGATACACACGCACGTATTGGAACGCGCTCTGCTAACTATGCTGTAAGCAGCGACTGCGCTTGGGCTGCGCTGCAGTGTGAGCAACATTATAAGAATTTATTTGTTGAATAATTTAATTTCTAGACGTAATGAAACTTTCAGAACATAATCATAATGTTCAAATGTATGTATATTCCAAAGCACAAGTCTCTTGTATTTGAAATACGCTTTTTATAAAGGTGAGGGTGACGGGGTAGAAATAAGAGTGGGGGGTAAATTCAAACAAAAATCGAAATTGTATAAAATATATATAAGTCTACATTTAAAATTTGGAAGCTCTAGCTCTAAATGTGTAGGAGATATAATTAAATTTATATAATTAAATTTATATTTAGAGAAAAACTTGATATGCGCGTGATATACACGGACCTAGGAAAAAAATTTCAAGTCTCTAGCTCTTATATCTTCTGAGATCGATGCGTTCATACATACGGACGGACGGACAGACAGACGGACAGAGCCAAATCGACTTAGCTCGTCGCCCTGATCAAGAATATATATTCTTTGTGGGGTCTGCCATGCCTCCTTCTGCCTGTTACAGACATTTAACAAAACCATTATACCCTGATTTCCCATTTTCAATGGGTTCAACAAAATTTATATATTAAATAATGCAAAACATATATGCTATAGATAAATATATATATGTATATGAAGAATTTGAATTTATAGTCTTTACTTTTTATTGTAAGTGACACTAATCATATGCATTTAATTAGTTTCAAGATAGGATAATCGAATGTATTTATTTTGTTTTCTAAATTGTATAGAACATTACTAGTTTATTATTATTTTTATTGTAGTTAAAAATATAATTTTTATTTTAATAAATTTAATTAATTATTTATTTCAAATTAAATTTTAGTGCGTAATAGTTTTATATAAATTAGATAATTTATATTTTAATCTAGTTTCCCATTTCACCCATTCAAATGATGTTAGCATGCTTTTAATAATTTGTTTATCATTTCCCAAAGATCTTTCCTTTTAGCTTTTTCAGGCTATATTTATTTGAAGAATAATTTCCATTCCCAGTTGCTTTAATGCTTTTTAGCCCTCCCCACTACAGAGCTTATGCTAGGCAAGAGGTCAAAGAAAATGTGTGACCTCTGCTTAGCATAGATAAGGATTCTAGCTGTGACCCGCAGTTAACGGGGAGCAGCGACAAATTGTTATTTTGTTATTATTTTAAGCGGATTTGGTAGGTCGTCAAGTGCTTCAATTTAATTAGACTTTTATAGACGTGGCGCTTATTTTTAATTAAAAGAAATGCTTTAGTTTAAGCTTAAGACTAACATAGGTTAGGTTAGCTCAAATTTACTCCAGTAAATCTGTGTGCAAATGTACTTCAAAAGCGAAAAGTCGCGTATATATGTAAATAACTATATACATTGGCATATATATATGTATGTATATTAAGTGGGGGACGTACTGCGTCTAACCGCAAATCAGAGCAAGCAGATAATTTCATCCCATTAAGAATGCATTTAAATCAATTTGCGGTCCAACCCTCGGCTCAGTGCCGCCACCTGTCGTGTGACTTTGTGCGCTTTACCAGCCAGTCAGTGAGCCAGTGAACCGCCACCCGCCACCCGCCAACCCACCCATTCTCTCTTTCAACTACGCTTAAAAATCAAAAACTCTCAAAAGCAATCCCACTCCCCTCCCGGTTTCGTCCGCTCCTTTTCGCTCCCTCACTCCACCTGCTGGGCTTGGTGCGTGTCTGGGTAACTGTTTGTTGTGCATTGTGCGAGTGTGCCCAGCCCTCAAAAATCTCAAGTTGCCGTAGGGGAGACTTCGGCTGCTGTCTGTGTCGGTAACAATTACTTCGTTTAATTTAACCTTTTGTGGGTTTTCCGGTGTTTATTGTTCTGCTGTTGCCGCTGTGTTCATTTAATATCGATTAATTATGCTATTATGTTCACAGGACGATAGCATTATCAAACAATTAACATGGCCCCGAAACACTATTTGGTGTGGTTGGCAGCGCCAGGGAGTGCCAGGCAGAGCCAGGCAACAAAGCTGCTCATAAATTAGAAAATAAATTAAAATATGCGACAAACGTCGTGCAGGCAAGCGAAGCAATGAGTTATGAGCTCTGCTGCTGCTAGTGTCTCAAAAGCCGCTTAAAATGTAATAAGACGCATGCCTGGCTTGGCAAAATTACGCCAGGACGACAGGTGCGGCAGCTACTTGATTTATGCTGGAGAAGGTGGACATATCCCTCTCCCCACAGCCTACTGCCTGGCTAACTGTAATTGAATTTTGAGCTCATTTTCATTTCCGTTTTCAGCATAATGCTGATTTACGTGGTCCACTGATAAGTGTCGTACCAAGAAATTGGCTTATTAATTGCCAGCCAGCTACGTCTAAAATGCATATCACGTATTTTTCCTTTCGGCTAGTTGGCTTTGTCAAAGCAAAGCCCAATTATAGTGATTATTGCGGACAGGCAGACTAGTGAGAGCAGGAGACAGATAGACAGAGAGTCAAGGAGGAGCAGGCAGCCGCCAGCGCTGCAAGTGACATGAATACCAAAAACAGTTGCTAATCAATGGCGCATCAAGCTCAAAAGTAATTGGCAACGCGATGCGGCATTGACAGCCATTAAAGGAATTGTCCGCCGCCACAAACGACTTCCCACGGGTCTAACTAAACACACTTGTAAGTAAAGCTCCTCCCCCGCAGGCCCAGCCCACGTAAACAGTTGGAGATTTATTTTTATTGTGCGTATTGTTTGCACTCGACTTGAACCAGGCACACACACTCATACACTCATACATACATACATATAACACCCACCAACACTGCTTTCGACTAAATGAGTATTACCGCAATAAATCGCCACAATTCATTTAAGGGCAATGCCGGCCAACCCTTAAATCAGCACCAAAGCAGCTGCAAACTGTTGATGAGACACTCACACACAAACGCATACATTCACACACACATACATATGTATGTACATATATAACCGTAGAGATCTATGCCCCACACGTGCGGCAGACCGTGAACCTGTAACGGCATTTTCAACTCTCATGTCAAATTGTCACTGGGGACCCAAGGAGGAAGACGAAACATGCGCTAAGCACCAGCCGGGGGGCGATCCAATTGCTGCCAGCTTGTCGTACAAATTGCATCAATTGACTTGCGTGTTCAACATTATGTGCAAATTGTGGGTGGCTGCCGTCAGTTGGACTAATGTCCTACACGATTTTCTAATGATTTCTTTATTTAGCTTGGCTGTAGACAGCTCTTTCCCGAGAGAGAGAGAGAGAGAGAGAGGACTATCGACTTGCATATGCTACATACGATCCTTTGATTAGGTGGCAGTGCGGATTAAGAGTGTTTTGCAAATATCGTAGAAAGTTGAATTTCGACTCGTATGAGACGAGTTGCATTGTAAACAAACATTGAACATGTAACAGGAACAACAAAAAAGCAAACGAAAAGACCAAAATAAACACAAAGCAACTATGAAACAAGCCAAACAGGCGAAAGCAATTTGCAGGTGTCATCTGAGCTTGCAGCGAGAATGTAATGGAAGTCCTTAGCATATGCATCCACACACGAGTCACTCGCCTATGTATGTGTGCATGCATGTATGCATGCATGTGTATTAATTTGCAACTCTGCATATCGCTTGGAATGTGAGAGTGTGTGTATATGTGTGCATATGTATATGCATATATGTATGTATGTACATATTTGCGCTTTCCACAAGGCATAGCTGTAAGACACATTCCATGTTGCTGCTGTAAGTGCGAGCGAGAGGCCTGCAGGGCGTTGCTATACTTTATTAAATTATGAATTATGCGCTATTGGAACAATGTATTGTTGCTTGCGTTTTTTCGCACTAATTTCTATACCGTTTATCCGGCATACCTGCCTGGGCGCCATCATTGCTTTTTGTTGTGCTTGTGCATCTGTTGTTGTACTAGGGAGTCGATTGCCTCTGCTTGCAGTTCACTTTCCAGTCTTGGACCTGCGCAAAAGCTGTGCTGGGAAACTGTTTTCGGTAGGTTGCTATTCTTTTTTTTGTTGTACATTGGGGTAGGTGGTGTCTGCTGGTATCCCCTAAGCAGCCCTTCCCCTGCCTGGCATTATGTTGTCACGGATTTCAATTGCATTCCATGGAAAGGCTGCACACACACACAGATAATTACACATACTTGCACATTTGTTTCCCATGTGCAGCATTTGCAATTTTGTTAGCGACGACGCGTCGTCACTTTTAGCAAATTTCCATTGTCTGCGCAAAAAATTGTGACCTTGTAACTTGGTTTTAATTGCGATTGTGAATGCATTTTTGAGGCGCTACGTTTGAAGTCTCAACAATTGAACAAAATAATGCAAACAAAACATGAATAAGCAAACCTTCTCTATTCATATTCTTATCGCTCCACAGACATCTCGTCTAGCAAACTTGTCCAACTGTCGAAACATTTGCTTCATCCAATTGAAGGCATTTGAGAAACTGGCCACATAGTTGAAAGACCCTTTTCAAAAATCCATCCAATTCGCCCTGCATAATGCGTAACATGTGCGTCTCATATTTCCTTTAAACGGTGATAGGTGGATCTGGGCGCTGGGCGCCGGGAGCTGGGAGCAGCATTTAAGAAACCATAAATTTGACGGCAATAACGGATAAAGTATGTTTATTTCGATATTAGGCTAAGCAGCAAACGAAACTGGTCGTAAAAGGGCTACATAAAAAGAAGTGAAGAATCTGATAGATTGAAGTATACCCTATATTTAACAGATATTTAAATATATTCAAGATTCTTTTTTACTTAAAATTATATTACTTAAGAAATTTATTTTTCATTTCATTTTCTTATCGACGTTATCGAGGAAACTTTGCAATTTTGTTAGCTAGCTATAATTTTGTAATCCCATAGACTGTTACGATAC